CGCTGTCCCGGGCCTGGCCAGTGCGCGTCCGCCTGCTGAACCTGGGCACCGCCGGCCGCCTGGGCACGGGACTGGGCGGGGGCGCTGACCTCAGCCTAGGAGGCCTGGGATCCCGGAGCCGCCCGCGCCCGCGGGGACCTGCGAGTTGCACGCCCTCCCCGAGCCTGTGCTGCTCGCGGCTACTCGGCGGGGAGAGGCCAGGTGCCCCCCTCTTCCCTTCTCTTCCCTCCCTCCCCCACTCCGGTGCCCGCGGGAGATCCCGCCCGTCCGCCTCCTCCCGCAGAGGTGTAGCCCGCTGCGGAGCTGACAGCGGCCCCGCAGCCACCCTGTCCAAACTCTCCGGAAGCGGCTGGAGCAGACTCGGCGCTCAGGCCGCCGCAGCTCCAGCGGACCCACTGTTGGACCGGAGGAACCCGCCCTCCTCCCGCGCCCAAACTTGGAGCACTTGACCTTTGGCTTTGGTAGGAGGCAGGCCGGCGGGTGGCTGGACAGCTGCGGCACCTCGAGGGCCTCTTGCCTGGGGTTCCAGGACTGTCGGCTACACTTCTGGGCTCCCGGCTTTGCTCTGGGATCCTGAGGTGTCCACATCAGGCGCATGTTGACTGAGACCTGGAGTCATGGATGTGTGCGCCCGTGTTGCCCTGTGGCTCCTCTGGGGGCTCCTCCTGCATCACGGCCAGAGCTTCAGCCATAGCCACAGCGAGAAGGCGACAGGAGCTGGCTCGGGGGCTAGTTCTGAGGAGTCCACTGCGGCAGGTAAGGCCTTGCCACGGGCTGGACTGGGCTGGACTGAGGTGCCTGAGTGGGCAAGTTGAACCTTAGGTTTCTACATGTGCGGCTGATGGCACTGCCTGTTCTCAGTAGTCCAAGAAGTTCTTTCTGTTCAGGAGCCATGGCTAATGTCTGTCCCTGACGAACAACTTTCCTCCTCTCTCCCCAGGATGTCTTTTGTTGGCAGTGAGAAGGGGTTGGCCTTTCGGGCACCTTGGCCTTTCAGATCAGCAAGCCAGGACCTCTTCTCAGGACTACTTGTCTGGAAGAATGGCTTAGGCAAATGATGTCTATTGGCCATGATAAGTCTATTGCTTTTGGCCAGTTTCAGCACTTGGCAGCACAGGGGAGGTTGAGGCTACTTGGGTTGGGCAGGGAAAGTCAGGGCTGGGCCAACTCTGTTGCCCTATAGCTTGGTGTTGAGGTGTGCCTTTCTGTTCCAACAAGCGTGGGAAACTTAGTCCCTCCCTTCCCTTAGGTAATCCGCTGTCTTTTAGCTATCCCATTTGAAATATCAAGGCAGTTCTTTAGATCGAATACTATTTACCACTAGGGAGTTAAATGGCTTTTTCTTATTGTGGGTATGGTATAATTTCTGGGGCCACTTGTTGATTTATTCCATTTCTTCTGACTGATGAGGGTAGGAATTCTATGATATTTTTGATCTGTCCTGTTTTTCCTTATGCACTCATGGAGCCTTGTCAGGTATCAGGAGCCCTGGAGTTCTGTTGCAGAATGCAAAAGAAAAGAATACTTTTAAAATTCAGTTGTTTTACACAAGACTTAGAAGGAATTCAGTTTTCTTTCCCCATTTCTCTCACCCTGTCACCGTGATCTATCCAAAGCAGTGGATTGTGGATTAGGGAGTGTTTATAGCTGAGTTCTTTATGAGGGGACTGCTCAGTGGATACCCATTGATATAGGAGGAAAAGGAAACATAGGTCATAGTGGCTGGGAGGTTTCATGGATGGATCCAGATGCTGGCTTTGATGATAGACCCTTTCTCCGAAAACCCTCTCTTTTAACTTCTTTGATTGGGCTGGGTGTACCTGAAGGGCTGAGTTGCAAGTAGGGTTGCCCTACGTACAAGCATAGCACCTAGGCTGTTATTTTGTTTTTTAATTTTTTATTTTATTTTATTTTTTTAAAAAATTTTATTTATTTATTTGACAGAGAGAGACACAGCGAGAGAGAGAGCACAAGCAGGGGGAGTGGGAGAGGGAGAAGCAGGCTTCCCGCAGAGCAGGGAGCCCGATTCAGGGCTGCATCCCAGGAGCCTGGGATCATGACCTGAGCTGAAGGCAGATGCTTAATGACTGAGCCACCCAGGCGCCCCGTAGGCTGTTATTTTGAAGATTGGTCTTTCTTGCAGATTAATCTTGTTCCTCCATATGGTATCTCCTTGGCCCCTGAAATGTAGCTCAAAGCTTGATTTTCATTGGGCTGTGAAGGGAAAGTCTACTAGGCAGATGTAGATCAAACTGTGAAGTAGACCCTAGGAACCCTAGGAACATCTCTGCTGTCTCCGTGACATTCCTGTTTATAACAGATAAAATGTCCTTTTCTCCCCCTAAAATATGAGTGCCTGACATAAAATGAATATCTTTTTGGGGGGGGAGGAGGTGTTTTATATTTTAGACATGAGCTAAAGGGATGAAATTCTGAACTTTAGGCATTAGCTTGCTATCGAGAAGAGTGTGTGTGTGTGTGTTTGTGTGGACACACCTGCCTAAGGTAAGAGGCATTCCAGCATCCCTCAGAACCACCCCATGACTTGAGCTTGTGGGGACAGCCCGCCTCACAACATATCTCAGACGCCTGGCTATGCTGACTCTATCACTTAGGCCTTGATTCCTCTCAGTTCAGAAATTAGTTTCTGTTGTCATAATAATACTGAATCCCAGGGAGGGAAGTCTCAGAGAGAGACCCTAGGTACTAGGCATGATTGTAGTTTGTGAGAACCTGGGGACCCCAGAACTGTTGTTCTAGGTTGTCCCCTTGGGCCTGTCTGGGACTTTGACTCAGACAGGGACTCATTTTTTTTGCAAAGAGGTGGCTTACGGACTGGGCTCTGCTAAAGGATTTGGGGAGAAGCTTCTTATGCAGCTAGAAACTCTCGTAGGCCTTACAGTCCCCATGTAGTCTTAGAACACAGGAGTTTTACTTGCCCTTAAAGCTGCCATTTCTCTAATCAGATTTGGCATACCCGGTCAATTTATATGTTCTCTATAGTTTATACTTTACAATTATACAGCTATTTTTCCTATAAAAGGCTCATAATAGCCTAGTAGAATGCATGGCAGGTGGTATTATCCCCCTTTTTATAGGTGAAGAAACTGGGTTCTGTCTTATAGGCAGGTCTTAGGTTTCTCCCATCTTCTCTGGCCCTGCCCCATTAAAGGAGTGGTAGGCAGGGCCAAGAGAATGTTACTTTCTTCCCGGTCGTTATTTAGGCAGGCCCTTGTAACTGAGCTGATGAGATCCAAGGAAAGAGCTGTCTTTTTCTTCCCTGGAGAGTCTTCTGCAGGGGCCAGAGAATTGGATTTTTTCTCTCGTTGGATGTATCTGTCCATCTTAGAGCCCTGTCCCTGCAGTGAAGGCAGGTGCTCCACTAAGAGGCCCCCTCAGTTGGGCAGTGGAGAGGCCATTCCTGTCACCTTCTGGCTCTTTGATGCCCGCACACACAGCTGTGCTAAGTCACTTTCTCAGTAAAGATCTGAGCCTGGGCGTGCTACCCTGGGGGCTGCATTTCTGAAGCTGGCCTGGAACCGATGCTTGGAACCTCCCGTAGACTCTGGGCTCATTGCTTCCAGAAACTCAAAAGGTTTTCTGCAGAATGTTTGTGGGGGATCCCAGGTGAGTCAGGTTGTGACTGCCAGTGTTGGAGATACTGAGGGCCTCTGATCAGGAACTGTGGTGTGACTCAGTATAGCCAGAACAGGGTGGAGGATAGGCATCTAGGCAGTCTGTGCACTGCAGGCTGGCTTCTCAATCAACCCCTGGTGGGAGTGGGAGGCCAGAGCCCTGTCTGCCCACCCAGCTAGTTGCTGCTGCCTCCAAGGCTATAAATGGCCTGGCCATCTTGGTGGCTATGCTAATTTTAGCTGAGGGTAGCTCCCGGAACTGGACCAGGGCCAAGGGCAGGTGGGTGGGGCTTGGCTGAGGCTAATATTGGGGCTGGGAGAGGGTCACACTAATCCTGGAGCAGCTAGGACATCATCTGCACCCAGCTTTGACAGTCACCCCTTAGCTAGGTTAATTTATTCAGCAAACCTCGAACAGTGCAGCTCATGTCCTATTTATTCAACAAATATTTGGGTGTCTGCTCTGTGGCACACACAGTATGTTTGATGGTGGGAATTTAAGGATGAATAGAACAGATAGGTTCTCTGCCCTCAAGGAGGTGACAATCTCGGGGCACCTGGGTGGCTCGGTCGTTAGGCGTCTGCCTTCGGCTCAGGTCATGATCCCGGGGTCCTGGGGTCGAGCCCCGCATCGGGCTCCTGCTCAGCGGGAAGTCTGCTTCTCCCTCTCCCACTCCCCCAGCTTGTGTTCCTTCTCTCGCTGCGTCTCTCTCTGTCAAATAAGTAAATAAAATCTTTGAAAAAAAAATAAAGGGGGCGCCTGGGTGGCTCAGTTGGTTAAGCGACTGCCTTCAGCTCAGGTCATGATCCTGGAGTCCTGGGATCGAGTCCCGCATCGGGCTCCCTGATCGGCAGGGAGTCTGCTTCTCCCTCTGACCCTCCCCCCTCTTATGTGCTCTCTCTGTCTCAAATAAATAATAAAAAATAAAATCTTTAAAAAAAAAAAAAAGGAGGTTACAGTCTAGTGGAGAGCTAGGAAATAAATACATAAATAAATATATTATCATGTGATGGTGCTGCGGAAGAAAGCGTGACCAGAGCACTGTTTGGAGAATGGGAGGAGGACAGAGATCCAGCTGAAGGAGCAACTCAGTGCCTAGGAAGACATTAATTAACAGCAGCAATAATAGCAACTAACATTTGTTAGTGCTTAGTGTGTGGCAGGCACTGTTCCAAACATTTTATTTCACTTAATTCTTACAATCATCCGGTGTGCTGAGTATTAGTCCTGTTTTATATTGGAGGAAATGGAATCAGAGAGAGGTTAAGAAACTTGCCCAAGGTTGCACAGCAAGTAGGGAGTAGAGTTAGAATTTGAACCCAGGCAGCCTGACTCTTCTCCCTGCATCCACCTCAGCCCTTAGGGTATAGACTCACTCACAGCTTTGGGATCCACGCTGTGATAGAGGTATTGTATACACACACACAAGGCTGTGGGCAGCCCAGAGGAGCAAGTGACTAACACTGCCTGGGAGAGCTGGGGGAGGCATTTCAGTTTCCCCCATAATTTTTTTCTCAGATCTTGGGAGATAGAAAGTGGTTGCCTAATTCAGAAGTTAAGAGGTGGAAACATCAGTTAGTTCAACCCACTTATTTTTACAAATGAGGAAACTGACATCCAGAGAAGCATCAAATACAAGTTCCACAGTGGGTTATTGGTGGAGCTAGACAAAGACAATCGAGTCAAGGACCCTGACTTAATTGGTTATTCAATCCACAATGAGTGCTTACTGCTTGCTTTGTGCTATGGAAGAGACTTAGGGCTACCAAAGAAGTCTAAGTCTAGGGGCAGGGGGTATGCTACTATTAAATGTAGCATAATGCACAGGCTTAATGAAGCATAAAACCAGGCAGTGTAGACAGTGTAGCCTGAGGATTAAGAGAGCTGTGTGTGGGTTGGGCTCAGCTGAGGTGGCTAGGGAGGACTTCCTGGAAGGAGGAGTTGGGTAGAGGCAGAGGGGAACCAGGAGGGAGTGGTGGTCTGACTTGGGGAAGGCTGCAGGAACGGGCATTGTAGATGCCTGGGTCTCCAGTGTGAGTACATGGAGTCTCACTGTTTGGTGGCTGAACAATAACTGGGCAGAGTTGCTTCATACTTGGCCGGCTACCTCGCATGAGAGC